ACCCTGCCCTCATATTTCAGAGCAAGCCTGTGGATTTCCTCCTCATAACGCCAAGACGCATCCGCGTGAGTCTCGAAAAGTACTCACCCGTCTGCTGAACTACGCATGTCTTGCCCTTGAGGTTCAGCGTCCCTGAGTGGGAACAGCAAACAGCATCACTGCCACGAACTCTAGTACTAAAGGTGACGCCCAAGAATTTGACCCTCGAAATATCATGTGACATGAAGTATAGTCTTCGGATTGGCTCAAGACCAAGACACGCCTCAACTGCACCTTACCTCAGATATAATATTGTATAATACAGACTTCAGCAGACGTTACGGACCACTTGCAAATTTGGCAAAAACTCTCCCAGGATTTCTGTGCTGCGCGTGAGGTGGTTTTGTCCCTTTAGGAGGCATTGCAATGAGCATTGTTCTCCCTTTAACACTTTCAGATAAAAAAAATTTAAAACATTCCATGATGTCTTTTTTTTTTTTCGGATTACAAAAAAGCAGGGCCGCCAGTCAAGGTGGTCTTTAACTTCTGTTGAAGTCTGTATAATAGATGTATGTCAGTCAGTTATGTCCAGAAACTCACTGTGCCAAACTTATGGAAATGCCATACTGTACAACGTTTTAAAAAAATATTGGCCTTGACCCTCCGGGATGGTGCTGCTGACTGAAGTGTCTTTAGGCCATTCCCAAAAGGGTGGATATTAACCATGTTCTTATGCACAGTAGAGTTGTAATAATTGTAATTGGGCTGATTCATCAATGTCATGCTCACAACTGTGCCTAAACTTCAACAGGGAACTGCTGCTTTTTCTGTCCTAATCCCTACTATTGTCATTTTCCCTCTACTTCTTTTGCATGTTTGTCACTCTCTTGTGAACCGCTATTTCCGGGGAGCCTTGATAGTCGAAGTAGACTTTGTGCTGTTGAAGCTAGAGGGTGGGCAGAGCAAGCCTGATTTCCTGTAAGGACTTCTCTGTTGACGTCCACCCGTTGGCGCTCATATGACCTTAATATACAGTTGCGAGCGCCGTAAAACCTCTATTAAAACAAACAAAAAAATTACCTTTCCATTCCAGTGTTCCTCTCCCATATTCTTCTTGGAAGTAAAAACTGGTAGACCAAACTAAAAGAAGTAAATAATAAATCTTTAAAAAAAGAATCCCAAGAGGCATACTACAATGAAAAGTTGCTTGTTTTTTCCCTCTGTCCACGTCACACACGGAATGAATCTGTCCAAGAATGTCTTGCATCTTGCAACATCGATTCAAAATATCAAAGGTAGGAGGAACACGCCAGATACTGGCCAAGTAATATACTTAGCCTTGTTGTGTTCATATGTTCCAGCTCTTGAACGTTTAGAATAAAGCGTTTACATTTATCCTCCTCCTCCTCCTCCTCCACTTCCTCTTCCTCCTCCTCCTCCTCATTCTTCTTCTTCTCCTCCTCCTCCTCCTTCTTCTTCTTCTTCTTCTTCTTCTTCTTCTTCTTCTTCTTCTTCTTCTTCTTCAAGATATAAAGGCTGGACCCACCTTAAAAAACTGAAGAGTGTCCGCTGTGACGTCAGTGAGGTGCCCACCAAGATCCCGGCATCTTCTCCACGCGTCTTTCGCCTCCTTTTCCTCCTCATCGAAGAGATAACAGTTGCCATGGAAATAGTTCACATAGACGAGAGGGCCCAGGCTTGTTTCAAACTGCTCGCAGCTTAGGGACGTTTTTACGCTGACTACGGCAAGAATCGTACATATCGTCACTTGTATCCAAAGAAGAACTAATGAGTGCATCTTGCTTAAAAAGAAAGAAAAGAAACTCAGATGCCTGTGACTTTTGAGAAGTACACTGATGTTTGAAGTATCAGTCAGTCCTGCGGCCAATGTGTTCAATCTCTCTTATAAATGGGTTGCTATTACTCACATACAGACCTGTTTAAAAAATAAAATAAAAGATAGAAGAAATGAGATGTATGTAGATCTACTCGAATAAGAAAAAAAAAGACCCACACACATACACAAAACAACAACCCCCCCCCCAAAAAACAACAACAACAATAACAACAACCTTTCTGGGAATCGGACTCATGTCTACAGTGATAGATGTTGAAGGAACTAAAAGTTACATCTTGTATGTGTGCGTGTGTGTGTGTGAGTGCGTGTGTGTGTGTGTGTGTGTGTGTGTGTGTGTGTGTGTGTGTGTGTGTGTGTGTGTGTGTGAGAGAGTGTGTGTGTGTGTGTGTGTGTGTGTGTGTGTGAGAGATAGACAGATAGAGAGATAGATAGATAGACAGATAGAGATAGATAGATAGAGAGAGAGCGAGAGCGAGAGAGAGAGAGAGAGAGAGAGAGAGAGAGAGAGAGAGAGAGAGAGAGAG